CGCGATAGTCGGTCAAGAAGTCGTTGTTGAGGTTGTCGAGGTGGCGCTTCTCCTCGTTCGTCGTGCGGTAGAGGTTCTCGTCGCGGTACTCCTCCTCCTCGCCCTTGGGGTAGTTCTTTTGCGGGAACAGCGAGGACATAAGCACGCGGGGCGGGTCGGACTGGGCGGTCGGGTTCTTCTTCTTCTTCTTGGGCTTTCTCTTCTTCTTCTTCTTAGCGGCCGCTCCGGCGGCGGGCGCCGCTACCTCGTCACCCTCCTCATCAGAGTCGTCGCTCTCATGGTCGACCCCGTTTCCCTCGGCGGGGTTTGCTGGCTTGCCGTTCGTCGCGGGCTCTCCCACTAGATGTTGAATCTTCCATTAGCAAACAGACGACCAAAGAGAGACGTCGAATTTCCGGCTTCGAGCGTACCGTTCAGCTTCTTCAAAGCTTCGGTGGGAACTTGGGCAGCCATCTTGGCATCACTAGATTTGCGCGTGTGTGATGAAGTTGGTGGTGGGAGCGACAGATTTTTGACCCCACCTAGTAAACGCAAGGGCGGGGTAAGCCCCCGTAAATCGTTAACCGGGGAGTAGCCCCTTATGCAATGTCCAATGACCGTTTCACCTTGCAAAACGCCCTCTATACCTAATAAAAGAGCGCAGGAGTTGTCAGAGACTCGCCTGGGTAGGGTCGCTTGTTTCTGGCCAGCCCACAAAACCGTCGTTGTTTTCTCGTCCGTATGGGTTTGAGAAAAAAAATCAGTAGAAGCCAAGAAAGCCAAGCCTGCGACCGAGCGGCCCCCTTAAGCGCTTAGCCTGGTCAACTCGAAGACTAACGGCAAGGTTCCAGACAATATTACTCGTGCTGCGACTGGAATGCGGAGTTGCACGCGGCACGAGTTGGTTCAAGTCGGCTAAGTTTGCTTCTCTTACATGTCACAACGTCATTTGATCCCCTATTTTTAGGCTCGACTCGCCTCGTCTTGCCTTGCAAGTGTATCGACCAGGAACATGCAACTTTACGTACTTCACTCCTGCATGGAACCATAATTGTTGTCTCCAATGATTTTCTCTGGATTTTATCTCGTTTCCCGCACATCATGATCTCCACGATCAACAACCCTGCGTGTAAGAGCGAGCGACGAATGGTAGACTCTAGATACGGCCCCCATGAGACGACAACTTCAAACATGACAACCTGCCAAAAAAGCCCTCATACGTCGTATTGTTTCTGATGATCTTGCGAATCCCTCCCAGGGGGTTGTGCATGTATGGTGCTTCGGTTTCGGCTTAGTTCTTGATGCATCTGGCACCAGCCTTGCCACAGTCTGAGCCAACTCCGTAATCGCAGCAATTTCCAGATGGCGAACACTCGTAAATGTGGTTGTTGACGCGTTTGGCGGTCACGACCCAAGTACCAGTGTTTGCCCAGTAGCAGTTGCCGCAGACAGTGAGCTGCTTGCCACGGCTGTTGCACTTGCATCCGTTGTACTTGCAAGCTTTTTTCTCGAGAGAGATGCCCTCTCTCTTCTCCACCGCGGCTTCGAGGGTGTCCACATCGTCGGACCGTTCCGCGAGAGCGACAGGCCCTTCAGACTGAGCTACGCCAGCCTGGACGGTCATGGCGAGGAAGAGGGCGGTCAGGGGGGCGGAGAAGCGCATGTTGGTTGATGTGAGCTTTAGGCTAGTTGAAGTCAGTGGGAAACAGCGGGGTTGAAGGCTTTGATGACTAACTTGAACTTTGAAGAGACGGAATGGTGTCCTGTTGAAGGCTTTCTTGCTTGATGGCTGAGATGATCTCGCTGTTTCCTTCGAGGTGATGGTGCCTTTTTATGCCATTTCTGACAGACATCACGGCTCAGCAGAATAGTCTATCCATGACGACTAGTCTGTGAAATTCGGAGGAAAGAATTCCTCCGTCTGACGTTATTGATGACATTCAACTCAAGTAGCCGTGTGGTTGATCTATCATGAATAAGACATTTGAAGTCTGCGGGCTACGATTGGCTGTAGCATGTCGATAGAACGCTGTGCTACTTGTTTAGTTACGGCTGATTGGGAGGTATTTCATGCCGCTACAAACCTTACGACGGTCCTGTTGTTACGTTTTACGAACAAATGTCTTTGAACGCCCCTCGCGATGATCGTGTAATTCGGATATCTTAAGCCTGAACCACACAAGCGAGTAAATTTATGTTATACAAGAGCCGAGGCCAGTCTTGGCTGAGTACTTAGTGGCCCATTCCTGCCTCAAGTTTTATGTGCTAGTCCAATCAGTTCATGATCACCGCAGCCCGTTGACACGATCATCATATCAGTTCTTGGCTCATTATGCGTCTGAACTCAAGCCCCAGGTCTTCAGGGCTAGTAATCTAGTCTCGTGATGTTGAGAAGTATAAAAATCAAGCTTAGTCCTGTCTCAAAACAGAACCTGAACTAAAGTTTGAAACAAGGGACGGGTCGTTTGCGGGGAAAGGCAGATAGTCATGCAGCTAGTCTTTCAGCTCTGATGCCGATCTCGAAAATCAGCCCACGATAGCGGTAGCCGTCGGTGAGGCTTAGGTCAAATGATTTGTGTAGGCTTATTAGCCCTGTAGCTTTACGTCGAGGCTTTCTGCAACCTGGGGCGCACTGCAGAGAGGGGTTGGTGAGACCTCAGATGGAAACGGCTAGAGGCCGTTGGCAATGGGCTGTCTCAGACCCTTGCTTTGGAACCTGCTAGACAAGCTGGGGACACAAAAGCAGCGGAGGAAAAGCCCAAGTTCATCCGTCTTACTTTTGTTCAACGTCACGTTGCACAACATGCAACACGGCAACTCAAACATTGTGATCCTTGCAACGAACAGTCGGTCGTCAGAAAATTGATTTGACGAGCCAAGCTTTTGGTACTCTCAAGTGGTGAATACAAACTAGGCGTTGAGTAAAAAAAGCTTTTGGTGCTTGATGGGGAAAATGGGCGGTTCATCGAGTTATGGCTGCAAACTTTTAAGTATTAGCCGCCATATCTCGCAGTGGATAAACCTAAGTCACTACATGTAGCAACTGCCGCCCAAAAGGTTGTATCATAACGTGTATAGAATCTGCGCAGAGGGTCCATTGTGGAGAGCTACTTTTATATGTGCTAAAATTTCTAAGAGGTACTGTGAAACTGGGGTGAGGACCCTGATGTGAAGATTGTGAAATAAACCTTTGATGAGATGCTATCCCCACGTTGACGGAGATATCATCGTGAAACTTTAAAAGACACCACTTACTACCATTCAGGTTGCATAAAGAATGTCCGTAAACTGTTGAATTTCTAAGCCCGTATCGGAGATATATTTTCAAAATTATAATAATCTGGAAGACGTTTAGAAAGAGGCATAGTTAGACGTAGTTTGCAAAATCAACGTATCGTTCCTGTAAACATTCCAACTTCGCCTTCACAAATACGTTTGCTGAAATTGATACCACGAGGAATAGATTCATGAAACTACACAAAATGCCTTCCTGGTACAAAGCACCTTGGAGACGACCCAGGAGGGGTCTGAGATTTGGCGTTCGAAGAGCGCCAGGCCTCGTTTACGATCCAGAGAAGGGTGACTGGGTTTTAGCACGGAATGCTGCAGGGCAAGTCATTGAGGCGGATCCTGCTGCACAGCTGCCTGAAGCAACGGAGGAGACGATGACCGGGCCAGGAACCACAGACGAGGTAAGAGCAGCTGACGAAGCGAGGCAAGACGTGGTAGGAGCGACGGGCGAAGCAAGAACGACAAATGATGAAGGAATGATTAATAAGGTAAGACTGACACGCCCAGTCAGAAGGGAAGGCGAAACAGAAGCAACTGACGATGAGGTACCACAGACAAAGAAAAGACCAGCAAACCGAGGAGCATCGAATACCAAAGAAAAGCGATTAATTAAAATGCTTCAAATCGATATGCATGACCAACAGCTAATTCTCAGCACCTGCTTCATATGTAAAGCAGAACTCCGACCGTCCCGTGTCCTGGAACACCCATGTGGTACGAAGTTCTGTCGCGACTGCGTCGCCAAATACCTCCGCTCCTCCATGTCTATCCGGCCATTTCTCAAGCCAAATTGTATCGAGCCCTACTGTGCTTACAGCGGCCAATCAGGGTTTGTTGATGCGTGGGCCGAGGAACTCCTCCTTCCACACGAGCGCGCACGCTACGAAAGACTCGTCTCCGAAGCAACCGACGTCCAAGAACGGAAGGCAATCTACTGCCACGACACCCTGTGCCGACGATACATACCTTATCACGAACGTAACGAGATCGCCAAAACTGCCCGTTGCAGCTGCAAGAAGCGGACTTGCATGATCTGCAAACGAAAGGTACACCCAGGCGAGACCTGCGAGCAAAGTCGGGCAATGGTGGATCCGGCGGTCGAGGAGGCGGAGCGGCAGACGCTTGCCGCGCTAACAGACATGGGAGTCAGATTCTGCTATTACTGCCACTGTCCAGCTGAGGAGCCTGAGGACCAACCCAACACGTCAAGGTGAGTCTCGAGCCGTTCTTGTCGGGCAATCTGTCAGGTGCCTAGAGTGATCCACGTGGACTAACATTCATTGGACAGGTGTATCAACTGCGGAGCTACTCTCATGTGGAATTAGCCCTTTCATTAGATGGATCGCTGTTCACTAAAGGACAGTCGCATTCCCCCGAGTGGGTTTGAGTGTAGAAGTATTGCTGCTTCGAATGATCGGGATAGGTTGTATGAGCTTCGTTTCTAGAAGTATTTAGACGGCATGGGCCGCATGGCCTGTACATTGAGCTTTTTGGCACAGTTTCAAGTTCAGTAGTAATAACATCATTGATAAAATCTCGAAAGAAACACCTCAAAGGTCGCGAAAGCGTTTTAAAGTGGACATTTGCCACTTCCAATACCTAGCTGTGCTATTGTCTGCCTTTTCTCCTGTTGTAGTGCTAGATATTTTCCTTCCCAACACCATACATATATCGTCTTCTAAGTTGTCTCTTCGTCGAACTATGGTTCGTTGCCTCAATCTTAGAACACTCTACCTGGTAAAGTTGCCAAATGTCATGTTGGTCCCGTTGAATTGGTTCCCCCCTCCAGTGTTGTTGTACTGGGGACCGCTGCCGGTGTTATTGTATTGAGACCCGGTCCCATTACTGTTGAAATTGTTTGTGACGGGGGGCGGCCGATCGTCTCTGGCGTCAGAGCGTTGCGTCGGATTGTCAGTTCGAGGGTAGAGCCCAAGAAGAGCCTTGGTTGTAGCCGCGGCCACGGCTGCCGCGTAGGGCTGCCACAATTTGTTCTTGTGACTATCTGCGTAGTCGCATACTCCTTTGACGACTAGGCATGGAACTTGGTCCCAGACGCCGGCGCCCTCCATCTCGAAAGCAATCACGTTGTGCTCTCGTGCGATGCTATCGCGACGCTCTCCGGACTTCATGACCGTGTCTCCTGAAGCGACTTGTCCAACGAAGATGCGAGGGTCCTGCGATTGTGAAGAACCCGAATGTGCCCTTCGCAGGACGCCGTTCTCGGCACATTGAAGGTCCGAGCAAGTCGAATTCATGGCCTTGTTACAGGCCATATCCTCGTCACACCCACAGTTGGACTGTTCTTGGTGGCGATGGAGGTAGGCAGGCTCGAAGAGAATGTCTTCAGCTGGAGGTGGACGATTGTAACTGATCTCATGGCCAGTCACATTCTGCTGGATATGGCCCAAAGTCCGAAGCATTTGCTGTTGAAGACGATTGAGACCGAAAGTTCCCTGAATACTGGCTAGGAGGGATCGGATGTCTTGGTAAGGCCGGCCCAGATTGTCACTAGTCGTATCCTTCCGAATGAACTTATCAGGATACTGTCGTCCAAGATCATACTGAACCACAGCCTGGCTGATAACAACGTCTCCCAGGAAGATCTCTTTACCTCCTCCAGGACAAGGAACTCCACCGCATATTCCGGCCAAGACTGCGAGCTTGAGCCTTGTGTAACTTGACCGGAGCCCAGCAGCCGCTGCCGCGGTAGAGACCTTTCCCATGTTGGGAAGATGTACCAAAACAACGTTATGGTCGCCTATGCGGCCGTTCGTGTAGTTGTTCTGATCCCCGGCTGCCCGGCCGAGTCCACGGCCACCTTCACCGCCCCAGAATTCGTCGAAGATCAGGGAAACTGCGTCAATTTCCAGGGAGAGCGCGCAGACAACCGCGATTTCGAATTCATCGCGGTGTCCAGGACGAGCATGGGTTGGCATGGTGACTGACACAGGGAGTAAGTGTGTGACAATCAGATGACAGTGAACACAATTCCAAAAAAATTTCCCCCCTTGTTACTGCAATCGTGTTGAATTTTCGATGCACTTCTAACGTGCAGCAAAGGTTAATGGGGGCTGAGTGGTTCACAGCTCAAACTTGCCGTGCCGTCAGGACTGTAGCAGACTTTTTGAGCCGCCGACCTTTTTTTTTGAGTTTTCGTGCTGCTGAGTCTTTGTCTCAACTTGCGACTCAGTGATCCGGTTTATTTGTCTGTGGGCTGAAAACGTTTGAGGTATTGATAGAGACCGCAACCTGAGGTAATGTAGCAATAGGGGCACATCATGGAAACAACCGGAGACAACGGCAAGACGAGGATGGAGATGAGGCTTCGGATTTCAAAAGCCCCGCATAGCCAAGACGCATGCATACCAGCCAATTGACACCTGTCACACCTGGAACGACTTGATTGGCGTGCTTCGAGGCAGTGCTCCAATCAAATCTGATCAACCGACAACATACAACACGCGGTATTTATTCGTTCCCACTCTCTGCCCCGTCCGATCAGGCTGCGAGTCGGTCCTGAAAATGCTCACCGGTGGATGAACCTTCCTTCTCCAAAACTTCTCGTCCCGCAGAATCCAGAGCACCATAGCCGAAACGCAAGACTATCAATCTATCAGCACGACGCAGCTCACGATGCACGTCGTGGGAACACTGCAAGAATGAATATAAATAACAGCAGCTCGGGCAAGCAATACAACAACGTGGGGAGCGGAAGTCAGTACAACGCGGAGAACATTACGATAAGTAGGTCTGCCGATCCTACTGCGAAACACACTTCGCTGATCACATGAGAAGACCATCCAGCACACGACGCTGAAGGAGACAGACAATTTCTCATCGATCTAAAACTCAGTGATCCGCGTCTAGATAAAGAACGAATTGAACGCACAAAAGGAGGCCTATGGAAAGATTCATATATCTGGATCTTCGATAATGAGGACTTCCAACGCTGGCGAACTGACTTCCAAAGTCGACTACTCTGGATAAGAGGTGATCCTGGAAAGGGAAAAACAATGCTCCTCTGCGGTATCGTAGACGAGTTGCATGGAGACAAATCGGCCCACCAAGTCATCTACTTCTTCTGCCAAGCAACCGACTCCAACCTCAACACGGCCTCTGCCGTTCTACGTGGTATCTTGTACCTCGCGTTGAAGAAAGCACCCGAGCTTGTCAAAGGCTTGCGCGAGGCGCATGATTCCTGCGATCGACAACTATTTGAGGGTAGCAACGGATGGCAGGCCTTATGCAACATGACAACCAGCGTGCTATGCAACGAGATATTCCAGAATGTTGTCGTCATCATAGATGCACTGGATGAATGCACCACAGGTGTTGATGAACTTCTCCAATTCGTCACCCAGTTGTCTTCAAAATCCATCAAGATTATTGTCTCAAGCCGCAATTGGCCTAGAATCGAGCATGGAATAGCAGCTGCCACGTATAAGGCTGCTCACATATCTCTGGAGCTAAATGAAGGCTCAATATCAGCAGCCGTGGTGGCTTTTATCGAACACAAAGTCAGCCAGTTAGCGCGGAAACACGACTACTCCACCATAACACAAAGCCTGGTCTACAATACCCTGTTGCAGAAGTCGAACAGCACGTTTCTTTGGGCGGCCTTAGTGTGTCAACAGCTTGCGGATAACAGCACCAATTCTTGGGAAGTAGAGTCGAAGTTGAATGATACTCCGGCAGGCTTGCATGAACTGTACGATCGAATGCTGGATCAGGCCCTTAGATCAACCAACCGCGATCTATCTCAAAGGATCCTGGCCGTAGCATCATTGGTGTATCGTCCAGTGACTGTGGCAGAGTTGAAGTCTCTTCTTGGGCTGCGGGATGCTGGTCTCGTCAATGACACGCAACCGCTGGAAAAAGGCGTTCAACAATGTGGCTCTTTTTTGACAGTCCGAGACGGTGTTATGTATTTTTTACACCAGTCCGCAAAAGACTTTCTTCTCGAGAATGAAAATCTCGAAATGATTATGCCTCATGGAATTGGTCACGAGCACGGTCTTCTTTGGAGGAACTCCATGGAGGTCATGTTGAGTACACTTCGATACAACATATGCGGCCTCAAAACGCCCGGCACCTCTGTCGATGATCCGCAAACTCACATCTCTGACTCTCTGGAGCCTATGCGCTATTCTTGCATACATTGGATTGACCACTTTTGCATGATGGGAGGAATCAAACACTCCCAAGCTGCCCTGGCGGAGAAGTTTTTCACGCGTTCTTTTCTCCACTGGGCTGAGGCATCGTGTCTTTTGCGCAGTGTCTATGAGAGTGTCGGGAGTTTGCAAAGATTATATCGTTTCTTACAAGAAAATTCCCTTGTAAATCTTACGCCAAAACTCACGCGCATAAATCGCCATGACACCGCAGGGTTCTCAAGATTGACAGACTTGGTCCAGGATGCCTCATACTTCCTGCAACAAGGCCAGCAAGTGATTGAGGACACCCCACTTCAAATTTACTGGTCGCTACTCTTATTCAGTCCAAGGCAAAGCATCATCAGAAAACTACACCTTCACGAAGGGCACAATTTCGTTCTTAACAAACCGCTTGTGAAAGAAAAAGAGTGGAACACACGCCTCAAAGCAACAGTATATCACGAACATTGCGACAAACTAAGATTTTCACCGGATGGATCTATCTTGGTTTCAGAATCAAATCGTGAAATCAAAATATGGGATAGACAGACAGGTCGATGCCTAAGAACTATCAGGCCTACCTCTCATGTATCAAATTATCTTGCACCTCTCGCATTATCCTACGATGGGTCAATAGCAGCCTGTGGAAGATTCCAATGTGGAACATGGGACACGAAAACGGGCGACTGCTTGCAAACATTGCGATATTTCTCACCATCCGTGAGCGTTGAATGCCTCGCTCTTTCACAAGATGGCCGTTATCTGGCAACAGTCACGAAAGACAATAGTACCACTGTTGATATTTGGAACGCACAAAATGGCCTATGTTTGCAGAGACTCGATAGGAACCTTGAGGAGGTGGTCGCAGTAGTGTTTTCACCAGATGGCCTCACACTTGCTTCTGCAAGTGGCTGCATCACAATATGGGAAGTGGAAGCAGGTGAACGCCTTCGAGACCTGCGAAATCATGTTGAATATCAACCGAATGCATTATGCTACACATCCACAGGGCATCGGATTGTCTCGGTCTCGAAAGAATTGCCTTCCCCAATCCCAGGTTGTCATCCGATACGTAAAGTTTATATTTGGGAAACATCTACGGGGCAACTTCTCCAATCGGTGGCAGACGTCTTCAATGCCTGCAACTTCACTCCTCTATCTCCCGGCGGAATAGTTGTGTGTCATCGACGAAAGGGGCATACCTTTGAATCGGTTAACCTTGAAACAGGTGAACGGCTCGATACGTTGGTCAAATACGACCAAATCTTCCAAAACACCGTCTCAAGCGATGGTCATTACTTTGCAACAGTTTCATTTGGAGGGACTATCAGCCTTTGGGATCTAACAGCACGTCACCATCAACGACATGAGCGTACGGCCGCACCGGATTCTACGCAGTTGCGTCCCAGTCTGCCACAAAAGGCTTGGAGATCTGTGAATGCATACACAACAAGAGGTGAGATCTTGCACGCCAAACCTTGAACACGTCGCCGCTAACTTAGTCGTGTACTGCAGACATGAGGTCCGCCGAGCCTCATCCTCGACGGTATCGTCAGGATTTGTGGGCTAATTCACACAGTATGTGTCATAACATTCAATCGGTGAAATTTTCCATCGATGGCACGAAGGTTGTTTCAGTTCGCCAAGGCTACCGCCATTCGATCGATGTTTGGGATGCGCAAAGCGGTCGAAATTTGCAAACGCTTCATGTTCGCGACACAGCAAAGAAACAGACTCGCTGTTGTGACAAGGCGACAGCAGCCTTCGGAAGAGAAGATACAATCCTTCTTGCAACAGAAGATTGTGAAAATGTAAAGATATGGGATGCGACTACGAGCTCCCATCTTAGAAGCCTGCCAGTTGGTCAACGTGTTGGCTCGATGGTCTTCTCAGATGATGCAACAAAGATCGCAATCGCACTACATGATCGGGGCATGATAAGTATGATTCAAATCTGGGACCCTAACACAGGGCGACGCATGTGGGAGTTAAAACTTCCTCAACAAGAAAGCACTTCCCAGGACTTCTTACAAAGCTTTTCAAAGACCGAACCAGAACTTCGCACTTGTAACGGAATCATCGACTTGAGCTTCTTGACATCTGAAACAACAACTTCATTGGTTGAGTTAAGTCACATCTCTTTTCGATCGAAGCCTGAAGGTTACCACGTGGAGGGAAATTGGTTAATGAAGGACTTGACTAGATTGGTATGGCTGCCTGAAGAATGCCGACCATGGAAACACAACTATGCCGTGAAGGGCTCAACGGTGGCAATCGGATGTGAGTCAGGCCATGTAGTTACAATCAGGTTTCCGTAGATCTTGTAATGATGTGTTTCGAATGGTACCCGTGTCGTACGCAGATGTGGACTGACCAATTAGCTATGTTCACATTGACGAAGGATATCATTTCCTTCATTTGATTCACTAAAGGAGCACAGAATGCGTGTTCACAAGAGAACAAGGTATGAATAAACCTAGCCGAACTAGAACTCCGACTATTGGACTTTCAGAATTCCACAACGAGCGGACGCCGGAACCCTCAAGGGTATCGTATCCGTGTCAGAGAGCTGTTCAAACCCCTTAAATGAAGGCAAAGAACCTGAATCATCGCCTTGCAACCCATGCATCAGCATACAGATCGTGCCAAGTGCCTCCATATTATCTACGATGCCGAAATCGCGTCTTCCGCACAGTTGGCGAGAACACTCTTGGCTCCGCTCAGCTTCCGAATCCCGCACTGGGAAGCGTTGTCGAAGCAACGATAATTCTATGCTCCCTGCATCCACCGCGTGGCGGCCGTTCCCTTGCAATCGGCATCGCTCCAGAAATTGAGCCCACAAGTCTGTCCACTAGGGTCATACACCTGCGCTGTGATGGTGCTAGCCGTGGGTATATTGTGGCACTGATCAGGCGTGATCATCAGCGTGTCGAGCTCGACCGGTTGCGGCAGCTGGACTCACGGAAGTTAGACATGACGAATTCCACATTGGTGCGCTTCGAGATCTTGCCGGGCTCGATTTGCATCCCGGAAAGGCCGGGGAGAGCGGAAGTGGAAGTGAACAGAGCAACGAAAAGCTTGGCGAGGTTCGTTCTGGCAAGCTAGTTGATCCTATCAGTTTTTGAACCCCGGCTGTAGATAAATTATGGCTCACGTGGACTTGCCATTTTGACGCTGTACACCTATGCAGCTGGGAATCGTGATTTAGAAGGCTGGGTCACTCTGGATGGGATCGGATGTTGCGATCGCTGCTTGTGAAGGCTGTGTTTGTACTCGATGCGATGCAGTGAGATGAAACTGGAGGTAAAGGAATGGGACCACCCCCCTTTTTGTTGTCTTCGTAATTGTGTACTCTCTCCTGTCTTCCACAGAAGAGATTGGCCTTATTCGCTTTAGACTTGGATTCAGCCGCAGAAACACATGTCTTTAATACCCTATTGGAGATGTTTGTGTCTCATGTTCTGGATACAGGATTGGCGGAAAGTACACGATGTCGGGAAGATTATGTAAGGGACCCTCTGCTGCTAGCTTTGCGAAGGAATGGACCCACACAGCGGTGTTGAGGTCAACATCATTACGGCTTGGCATCCTAATTAGACTGAGCACATCAATCATGATTGTGGTACAAACACGAACTTACATCGTTCACTTTTACTATGGTACCTTATGCAAGACATAGTTCACACACACTCGCTCTGCCTGAAACTACCTAGCAAGTGACGCGAATTTGATGGAGCGTTTTGAAAAATTGGTAGACTGAACATACGTCCAAAGTCCGATCCAGTCGGCATTCCTTTCTGAATACAGAGCGGAAGAGCTCCCGCACATTACAAGATCAAAGGGGATAACTGCATGGGTAGTAGCGGAGAGGAGACATTCAACAGATACGACCAAGATCAACGTTTAGGCATAGAATCAATAGAACTTCTTCGGGTTTTTGGGGCTGTTGGTGAGGAAATGTGACCAGCATATAGTTGGAGTACCGGTGAAGTACAAAAGTAACATAATCCAGCAAGATCAGTTTCGTCTCTCGTTTCTTCGTCTAATCATCCTAAGGTATAGTGAGATATTTGACGTAATCGCTCATGACATGTGCAGAATTGGAGTTGGGCGACAATGGAATGTTCCGACTACGCTGTGTAAAAATCCTTATTATTATGAATTGTTTGCGTGATAGAGCGTTCAAGTCGCGATTCGGACCTTCAACTGTCGCGTCTGCAGTGTGATTCACTACTTGGCTCAAGAATCAAGACAAGCATCTTCGTTGCCGTTACCCGAGCAAGAGTGTATTACCCGCTATCAGCGGCTACACCCCCCGGCATCGATCTAGCTTATCATATCGTGGACTCCTCACAAATCCAAACACCTAACTCGACAATCTTCCAAATCGGCAGTTCTTATCGGCCAAGCTAGGGAGCTAGAGCTCCAAAAGAGATAAGCTACCATGCCGAGCTTCGAAATCCCCTATCGTTACATTCGGCTCTTAGCCTTTGGTCAGAGGCAAGTTTTGGACCCTTGAACTGGAAGCTTATCTCCGACCCCGGGACAACAAAAGTCTTGACCAGAATGCAACTCTCGACATATTGGCCGGCATTCTTTTGTATATAAAAACAAACCCCCGACCCACTGCCCTTTTTGGGGGGGACTTCCCCAGAGAAAGCTTATTGCGACACACTGCGGTGAAGACCAGCCCCCCTTTTCCGCGTGTCTTGCCCTCGAAAGCAGAACACCATGGCTTCTCCCGTAACCGACGACAAAGTCAGCCCTCACGTATCTGACGGCCAGGCCGACATCGCTTCGACTAAGGGCGAGATTGAGGAGACTCACGATGTCTTCAGACAGACCGAGGATGGCGTTCAGTTCCGGACGGTCAGCTGGCAGAGGGCCACCATCATCTTCTGCAAGATCCAATTCGCGATGAGCATTCTGAGTGTTCCTGGAGCTTTTGCGACGCTGGGAGCTGTTCCAGGTGCTGTGTCCCTCGTGGGATGGCACGCTCTCAACACATGTATGATTGTCCTGCTGCGAGATGACCATCTTTCGGGAATCAGACTAACACGAATAATCCAGACACGGCCGTCATCTTGGGAGAATTCCGCAATCGCCATCCCGAATGCCACAGTAACCCCCCTATCCGACCATCCCCTCTTCCTCGCTAACATCTTTCATTCCAGCCCTCGCCGACATGTGCGGCCGCCTCTGGTCCCGCCCCGGCCGCGAGCTCGTCGGCCTCCAGATCCTCATCGCGCAGGTCCTCATCTCCGCCGCGGGCATCGTCTCCATCTCCACCGCCTTCAACGCCGTCTCGTTCCACGGCACCTGCACCGTCGTCTTCACCCTCCTCGGCGCCATCCTCATCACCGCCTTCTCCTCCGTCCGCACCTTCAGCAAGCTCGGCTGGCTGACCTGGCTCGGCTTCACCACCTTTTTTGTGGCGGTCTTCGTCTTCGTCGTCGCCGTCACGAAGCAGGACCGCCCCGCCGTCGCCCCGCAAACCGGCCCCTTCGAGCTGGGCTGGACCGCCGTCGCGCACCCCACCTTCGTCGCGGGCATCACCGCCAGCGCGAACATCTTCATCAGCAACAGCGGCTCGTCCATGTACCTGCCTGTCATCTCCGAGATGCGCCGGCCGCAGGACTACCGCCGCGCGGCGCTCGTGACCGGTGGGTTGGTGCTGGCCATGTATTTGTCTTTCTCGCTTGTGATCTACCGCTGGTGCGGCGTGTGGCTGGCCACGCCGGCCTTCGGCAGCGCAGGCCCGCTGTTCAAGAAGATCTCGTACGGCATCGCGCTGCCGGGGCTCATCATTGGCGTCGGTATCTACCAGCACGTCGCGGCCAAGTACATCTTCGTGCGAGTGCTTAGAGACTCGCACCACCTGCAGGAGAACACTGTCGTCCACTGGTCGACGTGGATCGGGAGCAACCTGGTGCTTGGAATTCTTGCTTTCATCGTTGCCGAGGCAGTGCCGATTCTCAACTACCTCCTGGGTCTGGCGGGCGCTATCTGCTTTGCGCCGTTCAGTCTCGTCTTCCCCGCCCTGCTGTGGATGCAGGACTTCTCGAGCTACAAGAGCGGCAGCATCAAGCAGAAGGGTGCTTATGGTTTCCACATCCTCATTGTCCTAGTCGGATTATTCATGGTCATCGCCGGAACGTAAGTTTGTCCGTTTACCTTTGGAGAGGGCAAGAGACTGACATGACTGTAGTTATAGCGTGGCCGTGTCCATTAAAGACGCCTATGCATCAGGTTTGATCACGAAGGTGTTTGACTGCGCTGATAATTCGGCCACTATATCTTGATGCGGAGTGCTTCTCCAATAATGTTGAGAATATGACGCGCGAACATTTGTCACTAATAAAGTTGGAAACGAGAGTATGAGCAAGGAATGAAATATGTCAATTAGTAGAAGTACCAGTAAGAAAGATAATGCAACTATGTTAAGAGTCCCAGATACCCGTCCCGCCAACTATGCAACCCGAAATCAAACGCCGTTATATGCAATATCCCAAGCCGAACCTATCACACCTTTCTACCACTTCCAAAAAGCCACGTACCCGAAGGCTTAGATGGGGCACTGGTCGCCCTTCTTGATGAAGAAGCCGCCCTGCTCAGACGCGGTGAAAGTAACATTGATATCAACGTCCGCCTCCCCGTCGTTCGCAATCGCAAACTCAAACGCCACGTTGTCCGCGCAGGTGAAGCTGTTGATCGTGACGAACGTGTCCTCGACGACGACGTTGTTCTCGACCTTGAGCGGGGGGAACGAGCCGACGAGCGCGCCGGTGGCGACGTTGCGGACGTCGAGGCGCGAGAACTCGGCGCCGCCGAGGTCGATGGGGAAGCCGGCGTTGAACTGGCCGATTAGGGAGCAGGGGCCCGAGGCGGAGGGCCCGACGGCGAAGGAGAGCACCTTCTTGACGACGACGCCCGAGGAGAGGTCGGCGACGCCGAAGTTGGCGTCGTTGGCGCCGATGCGCTCGCAGGGGGCGCCGGTTTGGCGGGCGGCGAGGCGGGCGGCGCGGGAGGAGACGGAGGCGGCAGTGGCAGAGCCAGCGACCAGGGCGGCGATGAGGATGTTGGTGATCTGCATTTTGGTGGTTGGGTGGTTTGTGGGGTTGAAGTGTTGTTGGAGAGTGTGGGTAGAGGAACTTGAAAGTGTTGAATATTGGATTGAAGTGTTGTGGAAGTTGTTGTTGCTGATGACGAGAGAAGCAGATAGACTGTCAACGCGGACGTCTTTCTCCTTTATAGATTCCCAGCCCTCATATTCCATGACAGCCTTCTTCTGCTTCCATCACCATGTAGCTAGACAGCTAGCCGGAAGGATGACGTCCAGCTGGGCGTTCGGGCTGTGTCCCCCTCCTCCTCACCCATCAACACCACCGCGCGCACAGTTGGCATCCCGGGAGACCATCGTGGCAGAGTTCCCACTCCCGACCTCTCAAGAAGGCCCGGAGACACGGGCAACGTGACAATCCCACCGACCCAAGCCTCTCCCGTCTTCAAAGGAAAAGTAGCTCAGCACACGGCAGTCACTCGACGTTAGCATGCATGTCCGTAGCACGGCCAGCGCCACCCCGATGGGTTCGGGAGGTAGGTAGGCTAAGAAAGTTTGGTCCCCACCTCCCAGCCTTACTGAGATCTGACGCTTCGTTGTCGACGGAGGGAAGAAGAGTTGTGCTTAGATAATCCGCAGCTAGCTGCCGTTGATCCCTCCGGCTCCGAGCTGAGGCGGGAAAGCCAACGCCTCGTCCCAGCTTGCCAAGAGCTGCTCCGCCTCTGGGTATGCCAGCTAGCTAGCTGCGTTCCTACAGACCAGCTAGAAAGCTCTCCGTCGTCCAAAATATTACCGCAGTCGGAAGCACCGCGAACCCGGGTATCTCAATTGCCGCGCTGACGCGCTTGCCAGACGCTAGCGCGGTGCGGTACACAAGACGAAAGGCGTTATCCCGCAGCTTCGCTGCCTTCCTTCCTTCCCCAGACTTTTCTAAATTAAGCATGGCTGATGATTGGCGACCTTACTCGAAAATCCCTCAGGAATGGAATGTGACAACCCTTTTCGTCCCTCTGTCGGAGACATAACAAGGTTGGAAAGGGTGTGTCAAATTTGGATGTTCCCCCATCTGCGCCAAGCCTAACCCAAGATCAGAGCAACCTCGATGAAGAAAGAGGCCACGGCCCCCCGGATTGGACGAACGAGGGCGCACACACAACACGTGCGGGGCGCAGCACTAGCAGGAGTGCCAGCAAGTTTTCCCTGCCTTCTCTGTTTTCTCCAATCTGGGAACGAAGAGAGCGATCGCCTATTGGCGGAGTATCCGGGCTGGATATGGTCATCGGGCCGGGAAACCTGGTTTTTGGAAGGCTTCGCTCCGTTGGCTCGCGAGATATCCTTGCTCATGATGCTTGCAAGAAAGGATTTCAGAGCTGGAAATCATGTTGGGCTGAGTGTAGCTAAGCAAAATGCGCCAGCCGAGGCTTCATTGTCGAATAGATACCAGGCTCTTGGTTTTTGGCAACTTTTGCCAAGTGATGTCGCTTGCAGCCCGGTGCTTTCAAAGTGCGGATCCATATGTGGTCTTGGAGGGCACTTGCGCAGAGGCAAAACAGACGATGCCTTCCTACGCCGCTTGGCATCTCTATCATAGGACGGTATGTCGTATCCTTCGCTGCTGACACGGCTCTCGAACGGCTGGAAGTTAGGCGAAAGGGTCGTCTCATGGATGAGATGAACTTGGACACAAGGTTTGTCGTCGTCCTTCGTTGCCCAAATCGGGCGATGGGCTTGTTCAGCCTCCAACGAAATGGTTCCGGGTTTCCGGCAGCGAGACATGCCGCGAATATTTCTGCCCTTAGGGATCCGTCGCGGGGAAAGGTCGTCACACAAAGGGTGTAGATCTTGGAGCCTCGTCGTAATACTGCCTCACCAGACCGATTGCTCATGTCGACAGATTGCGAGTAGCCTCGAGCGCAGAACATTACTGAATGCTCCAGGTATCATTTTGAACAGATGGCTATGCTAAACTTAGCAGTTGAAAAATAAACACAGAAAAGGCAGCTGTGGGTAGCCACTCGCTGGACGAGCCGAGGATGGCGTCGTGCTGACGAGGATCCGCCAATGTCTCACTCCTAGGTGTCTGAGCCGACCCGAACAATAGGCCGCACCGACCCATTGATAACGAGGAAAAAGCCTCGCCGCTCCTATGCTCGTTGTTGCTCGCCGCTCAGCTTGCTCATCTGACTTGCCATGCTCAGGCCGGTGCCTTTCCGTGTCTCGAGCGCCTTCGACCACCTCTTATTATCCTGGATGGGCTTCCCTGACCCCGTCAGGCCCAGGACTTCCATCAACTCGGGTATTTCTGCGTGGTCTCGGGTGGACCGCATGCGGTGGCACCAGGTAACCTTCTTCTCTTCCTCAACGTAAACGCCGTCGTCGCCTCCCTCTCCGTCGATGCCCTCTTGGCTGATGTCCTCTTTTTGCGAGTTTTGCATTGCTTTTTCAAGTTGTCGTTCGACGAATGGCGTTCCGACGGGGCTCATTAGCTCCACGGGCTCGAAGAGGAACTCTCCGCCGACCTGCCTGTGGTCGCCTGATTTGGTGGCCAGGCCGGCCTTTACTTGCTTTAGACCCTGGAAGACACTCTCTGCGGCGGACTTGAACATTGACTTGCGCATGTAGGCTGGTCGCTCCCCTAGGGCGAGAGTGCGTGTCATGCCCAGGTTGTCGAACAGGCGCCGCGTAGGGTCTGTGTAGACGGGGAATGGGCAGCCCGTCTCTTGGAGGTACATGTCTATGAGACCTGGGTTGCCGCAACCGACGACAGCGATAAAGGTGCTCATGGGCAGACCAAGGAGGGCATCGGGGGTTATAGACTCGGACAGGGTGCGCAGAAATTCTTGGCAGTTCTAGGCAGGAAATTAGCATGAAATCAAGGCAGAAGGACGGACGGCGGTTCACTTACCCCACAGAAGAAATGGCGGACGAAGATGATGAGGACACGCCTTGCGACATTGCGTCCGGTGTAGAGGCTCTTGAAGGGGTGGCTTTTGCCATGTCTGTCCAGGACTACATAGTTCTCAATCTTCTTCAAGGTCTCAGGGGAAGGCAGGTGGTTGTTGGTGGGGATCTCGCCCTCAAAGTCGACGGGTTTCGAGTTGTCGACCTCGATAGAGGTGCCGCGGGTGTCGCAGGCACAAGCACTCGTCGACGTCCTTGGTGATCTGGTACTCGTTGTCGTGGCGGTGTTAGGCGGCAGGTCTGCTTGTTGCCCAACCGGCTTCCTGTTCACCTTGAAGGCAGCGGTCGTCGGCGCTGGAGCAGGCGCGTCCGATGGCTTCTGATCGTCCGTCGCAGCATGGCCGTTTGGTGGAGATGCCCCATTCGCGTTCTCAGCTTTTGCGTCCGGACCTGATTCCGTGGTCGTGGGTGCTGTGGTCTCCGCAGGTTCGGTTGTAGGCTTGGCGTCGCTGCTCGTAGGGACAGGATTGGCGGTCGCGGCCGCGGTTGGAGGATCTTGCGGCACAGCAGCCATGACGTCGTAGTCGGGTGGATTAAGCGGGATGGGATTTTGTGGTTTCGGGGTAGCGAATTACTGTGTCTCTCAGAGCGAAGAGTAGGTAAGCGTAGACTTTTATTTATGATGGCCAGTCGGCTGTAGAGATTCGATGGGGGTAGAAAAAAAAGTTTGGAAGCTGATCGGGAGAAGAGACGAAAGGTGGTCTGAAGGAGGCGCAGCAGCCGTCACTGCCAGGATTGCTTTCGTAATGGATTGTCAAGACGATGGGAAGGGAAAAACGGAAGGGGTCGCCGCTGCGGCCAGAATCCAAGGCCTGGAAGGGAAGAAAAAAAAAGGGTTCGGGTTGAATCAGGTTCTCAGCTGGCCGGGCTCCCTCTGCCGAGAAAGATGGCCAGGTTCTTGCAGTGCTGCACAAGTTCCCTGCGCCAGGCCCCTCGATAGCGATAAATTAGTGGTAGGTCAAAGCCGGTAGTGACACGCCTGTCGCGCGCGGCTTGCAGTTGGTTGGTGAGTGCAGGGGTTGGAATGGGGAGATGGGGAGATCAAGCCAGGAGTCCGAGGCATCGGTGTCGTAAGTGCCTCGACGATCAAGGGGGACGCGAGGGGATGGGGGCAAGATGTGTGTTGTTTGCCAACGCCACCCTCGATGGGCTGAGTTGGAGTCTTGGAGATGAACTGGCGGTTCACCGTCGGGGGTAGTTAATCAGTCAGGCCCGGAAATTGGGGCTTTCCTCTGTCTTGCCAAGTGGCCTAGACGCAATGGAACCTCTGCGGTAGACCTGGACACTTGCTCTTCAGGTACACCTGCATGGCAATTGCATTCCGACTTCTTTTTGTGTGTTTCCTTCGCGATTGGGCGCTGGAGGCCGCGGGCCTTAGCTCCTCCTCAGGGAACAGCACTGTTTCATTCGCGTATGAGGTCATGGTGGAGGCCCGGGCATATTTTGTGTCGTACCTTGTCAGGCAATGCCAGGGTACAGTCTTCAACTGTAATTGAGCCTCATTGCAAGCAACACACACCACTTTGCTGCATCATTCGAAGAAGACATGCAAATCACGATATCTCCCAAGAAGTGAACGTGCATCCAGAGAATACAATCTGTCCCCCGTTCTATCCGTAAGCCATCGAACGTCGGGCCCGTTCGTGTCTCGCACTACGACCAGCGTTGAAATTGTCTCGGGCAAAGCCACTGACGTCCCCCCTGGTCAGGTAAGGTACGAATACGTACTGCGGAGTCCCACGACTCACCGCGGGTGCGTTGTCACTATTTTTACCACCGCCAGCCCCCAAACCACAACGGGCACTGTTCACCCAGCCTGGGTCCGGGGCTCTGGAACCTCCGATGAGCGCCCCTCTCTGGAGCTGCGGACAGATTGTGAACGGGGCCGGCGGGCTTGAGAGCCTGAAAGTGGGCCACGAATGCGCTGTAACTTGTAAGCTTGAATCTGCAATGTTCTGGATTGGCTGCTTTGCTGGCCAAGCTTCTTCTGCGTTTGGTTGTTTCCTGCAATGGTGCACAAACCACACCTTGTCGTCGCGAAGAGCTCACAGACATTATTCCAACTCATATATGTCGCTGCTGATATTGCTGATTCAGAGATTCTGAGAACCGTGGTGGTCTTGTCTGAGTAACAATCAAAATTTTCGTAGAATTTGATCTTATCATAAAGGTATTGATTCTGCACATTGGTTGATGAAGGCCCACTCTGACTGTGTTGTAGAGAACCAGGTTAGTTTCTTAGTAGAATCATAGATAGCCCGACCTCAAGTTTCTCAACTCAAATCCATAGACATGTATGGTTCACCAACATCATATTTCTCCGAATTCAGAGTCATAGTAATAAATATATCGCTTGTAGGCAATCAGTCGTGGCACCCCAGTCAATTTCTTCATCCTCATCTTCATCCTCAAAGCCATCTTGACAATTGCCTTCCTCACTCGCTCAACAACAAATCTCAACCACTCGCTCTTGCAACATGCTTTCGTTTTCCAAGATGCACATCCAAACTCCACAGCATGGCGCGTCCGCCGGCCAACCAGTGCAAGAGTCCATCTACAATGCATTCGACTCTAATATGAAAAAGATCGACCGCCAAGCCATCAGCCAGGAGTCGAAGATTAACAAGCGGTACGACGCCAAGAGAGCCCGTGCAGAGTCAAAATACAAAAATCCGGGTGTTTTTGACATCTGCATTCTCACACGCAACCTCACTTCCAAGCTGGAAAAGATTGAGCAAGCTCGAGAACGGGCACTCCAGAAGCACCGGTACAAGATCCAAATGAAGCGCTTAGCACAGGAGGAGACACTCTCCAATCTTGCTCAGTCATGGTTGTACCGACTTTAAAAGTAGGCACTAAAAGCGGAGCAAGTCGAACTCACGATGTACAATGTTCCACGGAGACAGGGCTTCTCTCCATGACTTGCTCGACATGTTTGCCAAATGCATCGATAACAACACGGCTTTAATAATCATCGAGGCTTCAATTACAACGACAACTACAAGTCTACAACTACAAGTCTACAGCTATAACTATGGCTTCAATTACAACTACGACTCAAATACAACTACAACATAGCTTGAACTCCAACTATAGCTTCAAGAACGACCAAAAGCTTCAGCAAGCATCTACCAGCAAAGAGCGCGCATCGCATTACATTACGTATCCATGATGGAGCTGCCCCCTAGAGCTATGAGATCTCAACAAACAACAAGGCTCTGACACATTCCAGTGAGCATCATTACCGCTCCTGGTTGAACTTTTCGTCGTCAACTACTACACCGACGGAGCAACGGAAGAAAAGTTTAGCGAATTACGAAGTACGAATTACGAACTATGAATCACGAATTACGAATTATGAACCACGAAAGCCGCCTAGATGAATACATCCTTGAGGGTCAGAAAGATGAGGAAGACCTCGTCGTTTTGCAGAGGAAAGAGACTTGCACACTAATTGTTAGGAAGTTGTCAAGACTTGTCCCGCCCGGCACAACTCCAGACAGGTTACAACGACCTGTCAAACATTAAACACCCTTCAGCAAAACGGCTTGGTGACTTCGCAACCCTCCAAGGTTTCCAGCGACAAAAGTATCAGCACACAAGGGTGACGCAAGGACACCCTGCTGGTCGGAACACTCAACAACCTACCCCTCACCCGTACGCCTTAGGTTATCAAGTCCCCCGCCTCGCTGGCAGAAATCTCTTCCGGCATTCACCTCGCAGAAGACCTTGGCAAGGGTCTCCCGCCCTGATCGGTGATCAACGTTTATTTTGGTTTTAACATCGGCGAGTTGGACGTGGGGAAAGATGGGGTGTGTGCGGGCTCACCGGACTGAGCTTCTGCAGTGGTCCGCCCCATCGGAAACGCCGAGATGGCAATTTGCGAAGTGGACTCTCGACACTTTGGACAATATGATAGCCTTTACGATTAAATAATGAAAAATCTCCGTTACCTTCGCGATGCCCGATCTGTACGTGTGTTGTGAAGAAACACGCCGAATTTGGTTTTGTAGCGAGGACTCTGCTAGTCAGGCGGTTGGAAACCGCTCTGATACTCCAGACTCAGCCACCCCTCTGTCGCAACAGGTCATTTGTCACTTGGCACCGCTCTACCCACCTTTGGCGAAACCGTAAGAGCCTCATATCCGGTCCGAAAGCGCTATTGTTCAAAAAGATAGTTGAACGGTTCATCGGTTGTCGCGATGATCAATAGTCAGGAGGCAAACCTTGCTCGGGGAAAAGAAATTCATATTCGGGGAACACCCGATCCCATGAAGCGCATGTTTATCGTGATAACCAGAATGCGCATGCCCGCGCCAACGCCTTACAAGAATCCCAAAAGAGTCGTATGTTCCAAATCCGTCATGCCAGCCATGGGCTTTTCATCCAACCAACTCCGCTCATCCGTGACCCAATATCTCTGGCCCTCTCATATCCATTGTGGGTAGCCTGGCCTGTCGCTCCTCGTCGCAGCCATCCCTGGCATGCCAGGCTGCAGCGGAATCACCTCCGTCTCAACAGCGTCGACCTCAGCCTTTTGCGGCAGCATCTCGACCTGCTGCTGCATCTTCCTCTGCTCCTGCTCCGCCAAGAGCATCTTCTTAACCCGGCGCATCTTGACCCAGATGTAGACGGCGAGGGCGATAGTCAGGACGAATGTCGCGCCGAAGACGATGTTCTTGATGGTGTTGTTGCCGTTTTGCTTCTTCTCGACGAGGAGGACGCCGAGGTAGACGAGGATGATCTGCTTCGGGAGCGTCAGGAAGGTCGAGACGGCGAAGTGCCAGAACTTGACGTCGCAGGTCGAGAAAACTGCCGTCGAGAAGTGGGACGGGATCACGGAGAATCGGATGATGAAGACGATCTGAGGGTTTTTGTTAGACTTGAGCGTGTGGTACTCCCGAAAAGGGGGGAGACGTACCCAGAAACCACCATCTCGGGTCAACCGCGCGAGGGCGCCATAGTTCAAATTCGTCCTCTCCAGCTTCTGAGCCTTGCGTCGCAGTGTGTACTTGAATGCGAACCAGGTTCCGACTGTTACATTTATTAGCACGCTTCGTCACCGCCAGATGCCCAACCAAGGGGGGGCCAACTCACTTTCACCAATGAAGGTTCCCGCAGCCACAATCGCAAAACCAACCCATAATCCATAGACGACACCGCACAAAAGAGCGACGATCTCGTGTCCGAACAGCGGGGGGAACGAGATGAGAATCAAAATCGCAATCGGGATGAGGAATCCACCGGGAATCTCTCGAACCTTCTCGGAAAACGGTCTCAGTTTCTGCGGTTGACTTATTAGCAAAGAAATCCCATGTTCACTTTTTCTCGACTGCGCCACGTACCTCGACGACCTCGTCATGGTGCAGACTGATGAAAATCGTGGCGACGAGAATGCCGATACCGAGAAGATGAAATGCTGCATTCAATCCATCAGCGACAACGTCACCCAAATAAAAACCCCCACGATCAAGATCTCACATACGGATGTATTTCGGTGTCAGAAAGATCTTTTTCCAGTTCAACGGTCGGTATTCAGTGAACTCCGGGACCTCATCTTTCCTCTCGCCGTTTCTTCTAGCCATCTCGACGTCGGGCATGATACGATCTCAAGCCGACTTGTTGTGTGTTGATGAATGGGGGGAGAGGCGGTGATCTGAACGCACTCTCTTTGTTTGACGCAACATGTACGAACTCGCTGGACATGCAAAAGGCCAAAGAGGTGCGACGGACCAACATGCATATTCATACAAATGAGGGACAAGGATGCCCACGGGCGCATATGGAATGGTAGGGAGACGGCGGGATCTGAAATCAATGCGAAACCGGAAAGCGGAACGCACAGCCACCAAGAGATCGGCCAAAAGAGGCAATAGTCAGTGCATATTATTCGCAGACGTCGTAGGCACTGGGCAGCGACAAAACCAAAATCGTTCCGGGGTTGCTCCCTGGAACAGAAAACCGTCAGCCGTTGGGGCGATGTGTCCAGCGGCCAACGGGAGAATCCCCCGCATCCCTCTCTTCTTATTTGCTTTTGAGGTAGGCCGGGGGCGGGCATGTCAACCAACAGGCCGTACCCTGACGGACATCAGGAGAGAACGTCGGAGGGATAGACAGGGGGCGACTCAAGAGTGAGGCGCGGGCGGTATCCAGTTGTTCTGACGATGTGTGGTAGTATCGAATCCTGAGAACGTCACGTTTTGTATGAAGCGCCCCGTTTCGCGCACGGCGCTGTATCACAAACATGACGAGTTCAATACCTACCAAAGCCGCCAGGAGTACGAAGAAAAGAGAGAGGAAAAAAAAAGACCGACCAACCCCCACGTGGCAAGCCCGTTCCTGGCGTTTCAAACCTGGCCGATCTGATCCACCAAAACAAGCACTCTTCGGAGATCATAAATTCCCCGGCAGGAATGGCCTCCCTACAATGAACCAGGTTGCTTGTCTTAACCTGCCTTATTCCGATAAGCTTGAAAGAATTTCTCCTGACAGTTGAGGGAAGCAAAGGTGACTTCGCCGACTGGCTGACGGGCACCATTTTGTTTGTCTATTGTTGATGCCGAGCTTTGAGCTTGCGACGTGTGGCCCAATGGGTTCGAGTCGTCGGAAACCACGACGGCACCGAGATGCCCGCTTATCGGTGGTTGATAGACAGGGCCCATGGGTAGAGTTGCGGGCAGCGGAAACTTTCTTCATCGTGTTCCAATGCCATTAGCTGAGGTTGCAGACGGCAACGCGAGCCTTGTTCAGGAGACTCGGACGCGCCGGCGGGAAACGCGCCACGTCAAGTTGGATCACAGTAAGCGCTTTCAGCTACTGGCTCACACGGTTGCTTCTGCAATGTGCCAGTGAGATGAAGACATCAAAGGTGCACCAGCGGGCTGTGAGGCCTGACTGAGGACCAGCGCACGAACGCGACCAAAGGGACCAACACATAAACTTTCTGGGCCGCGTGTGCCAGAGCCTCATCGCGGCTGGGGCTGCGGCCGTTCCCTCCCTGCTTAACGTTTGACCCAGCAGATTCCAGTATAACAAACGGGTGGCAAGAGAGGGCAATGATGCTTCCTTGGCTTGACGGCCTGTCTGCCCGCGCGCCGCGCGGGACACGTTGCCCCCCACCCCCATGAACTCTCTACATGCCTTTACTCTAGTCTCTACCTGCGAAGCTATGCGATATGCTTTCTGAACGTCAGCAAGCTGTGTGGTTAAAGCTACGTCAAGGATCCTTATCGCCATAGCTTCTCTGTGTATTCTGCCTGTGGACGTCATGTCCCGACCCTGCATACTTAAGTTACGGACGCTATCTTCCGAGCCGATTTGCACAGAAATTATGGACTTTAAATGGTGGCGCTAATGTTTCTTGTGAACTGTTGATCGCCGTGGCCAGGACCCAGCCCTCTGGGTTGACACTCGTATTGCTCGCAACTCTGAGCTTACGTTTACTCGGTTTCGCTCTATCTACGTGGTGCGTGTCTCGCCGATTTGGTCATGTTATGTCATTCGGAAAAATCAATATTGCGTGACTTCACGCGCCTTCCATCAAAGCATTGTGACGCCGGTCAGATGCAGGTCCGATGGCATGCATCACGTCATGTGCAGTCGACAAGATGCCAAGACATCCGAGCCACCCGATCTTGGTCTTTCGAGGCGCATCGGGCCGTTATGCTTAGCGCTGCAATGCATCCCGACTATTATCTCATGGACGAACAACATGCTTGGCAAGGCAGACTTGCTGATCATTGCATATGGCCTTCCCCTGAGGTACCTTGCGGTGCAGAAAAAGTTGCATGGGTTGCTTCTGATTTCTGTCGTAATGTCTTGTCTCAGCAAATTCGGGTTGTGTTCTTTGTAGGCCAATAACAGAAATAGTTCCGGTAGTATTGGGTAGACAAGTCTCGTGGTGGTTATGGGTGCGCTACGTTTTCGTGTAGATTGGCACCGCCTTGACCGCAAAAAGAAGTGCAACAGTTCAAGGGGAAGTGTTTGAGGCTTGAGCCAATGAGGCAGGTTGATTAGCCGACGATGTTGGTCGGTCCATGGGCCGGCCTCTGTTGGAGGTCGCGTGTAAGCGCCGGCCAACCGACGACTTCTAACAATAGGAGAAGGTAACCAACGAGACAGATGAAGAGGCCTCCAGTTACTCAACTTAAAGGATGCTTCGCTGGCTCAAAAGCACACTGGTTTCTTACGGTGGGATAGTGGTCAAGACTAGTCCCAGAGGAAGTCCAAGTTCACTTTGCACATCTGATTATTTGGACAGAAAAATACCTACACGAGCATGCCTCAACAGGAGCATCCCAAAGCCATACAAAGGCGACTCATGGCAACGTACAACATAAGATTCGTTCAACCAATTGAAACCCTAGAGAAAGAGCTGTATCCACAAAATCACTCGTCCAATATATCTGACATTCGTCAGCTGGGTAAAACCGAATTTCAGAAGTACCATGAGAGTATCGACACAGATTCACGTGAGCGTCCCTGGAGACGAGAAGTACGAAGCCGCGTCCAAAGGGTTGTCGAGAGTGCGCAAAGATGCCGTGATGCACGGAAAAGTGAAATGGGTTGGCGCTTGACTTTGGAAACCGATGTCTTGGCGAGATTCAGCGTCGAGGTTGGATGGTGAGCTCTCGCCTTTCTAAGAGAATTATACACAGAGGTGGTTTGAATTTTCACTGAAATTTGATGATTCAAAGCCAGAGATGCCGCGGATGGTTGTGGCGCTCTGAACAGGAAGTCGGCTCAAACTTTTCCCAAAGGAACAATCCAAACTCACGAGCGCAGAACTTGAAGAAACGTCAAGAAAGGCGAACACCTTGTGTCTGCCGCTCACAGAGCCACAGAGAAGACCCGTAAGCGTGTGATATCTCATTCCAATAACTCTTTACTAAGGGGAATATAGGGTCGAGCAGGGCATCAACCCGATTTTCGACGACCGTGCAGACGAAGCGATCGTGCACCCTGAGGAAGGCCTCCGGCGGCTGTTCCCAAAACGCGAGGAACGTCCAGATAGAGTCTACGGTCTTCGGAGAACCAGACGGATTGAACGTATCCTTGACTTGGAAGATCGTGGGCCGGATGCTGACGGCTGTTTCATCGGAAGCAGTGTAAACAGTACTCCCTTCCATTCAGATGGCGAGCCACTTCTTTTCCCGTTCCTGGTCTCAGAGGCCGAGTCCGAAAAGAGTGGAAGCTTGTGGTCTGACATAGAAGTCCAAACTTCGTTCGCAATTCGACGTCTTTTGCTCATTCAGGATGGACTTTGGCAAGCCGCAAATCGAGAGGACAATTGGGAGGGTGGTCCCCTGGTGTGGTTCTTGTCCAACAAAGGGGAATGCTGGAGGGTCTCGATTGCTTACGTCGACACCAAGAATACGGTACAGAGATTTGTGAGTTGAGGAAAATCGAAATCGATTTGTGGTGTCTGTTCAAATCAGTCCACTCTCCGCTGACCTTTCTCCACAGCTGATTACAAGACTTTGGCAAGGATCGTTGGGTTCAGTCGACGACGCACTTCAACTCTTGCTCATCGTTGATTACATATGCGACTGGGCGAGAGACATATACCGCGAATCAATCATTCAGTGTCTCAGATCGCTGTCAGTATCGGATTCGAAGAGTCTGACCTATGACACCGACATATTCTCCACGACCGGCCGTATCGATCAGTGGAACAATAGCAGCGAGAGCAATTCAGCCAGAGAGCTCAACATTTCTTCACTAGAGACATCTGAGATGAGAGCGAGCGCATATCACGCTGAACTTACGGGGCATCACTTCCTTAGAGACGCCCGCCATATTTGGCTTCGGTTCATTTCTCTCTACATTACAATGGACAACCTTCAATACTTTATCGACTCAGCGACGTCAAACAGAGAATTCAGCCAAATGAGAAGCTCCTTGATGAATATTCTGGAGAGAGCCTGGCTTGTCAGGAGAGATAGCCTTGATGCGCTTGAACTCGGTTGGACAGGCAAGGACCGAGAAGACCTGGCTATGCAAGCCCCAGACAAGATGTTCTTCGTGGTTGCCCACATGTCGGCGTATATGAATCCCCAGTGGCAAATGACACTCGAGCTGGGATACATCGCCGTTTCAGTTGATGCAGCGGAAGTCTTACAAGAAACTGTCCCCGAGAGACCACTAAAGGATCGGCTTGAAGAATTTCCTACGTCGACTGGCAACCCGTTTTCAAAATTGACAGTACTTCGTGAGAGAAGACCCATCGAAGTCCTCTTTGCTTGCGTCGAAAGATGTTCTGTCTCGACAGACGTGATCAGGTCATGTGATAGGCCTCTGGGCTCGGCTTTCGTCAACATCGAAAAGGCAGGCAAGATGACACACAACGGGGCAACTATTTGGAAGCATGCCAGTATCGCCTTGGATTCGGAAGGTGCAGCGCATGACTTCATATCCATGATGTACACAAAGCATAAGATAGGTTTCATTAAGCCTTCGTCGCCAATCTTCCGCATATCCAGCCGCATGACGACATGTGGCAATATAGACGCTCCTCCAATGAAGCTTGAAGCCACCAGTTGCTTTCCGAGAATTCCAAGTGAGTGGGAGACAGTGAGCGTGGTTTACGCAGTGTCAAAGTCCGCCGTTCCAGGGAACCGGAAATGGAGTTCGTACGGGAACTTCATGGCCTTTGTGTTGAATCCAAACCTGGCGACATGGAATCCCGCATTGAAAGAATACATGAAGACTACACTGCCACACTGGCAATTCAATGTCCGAAGATTTGACCACGGTCTTGGCTGGTCTCGCCTGCGGAATAGAATAGACATCATTGGCGCTGCTGGGTTTTACAAGGATATGGAGAGAACATACGGAATCTCTATACCAACCGGAACCACGGAATCTCGAACAGCTAGCCCTCAGATATCAGAGAAGCACTCGCTTGAGGATTCGAATGCCGAGCGAGAGTCCACTGAGATGGGACGTCGTAAATGCACCCGGAGAGCTGCTGCTGGACTCTGAGAATCATAACGCGCCTGGACAGACTAGGTGGTGTGAAGGGTTTATCAATTTCTCGAGATTTCAGAGAATCCGATCCAAAATAGACATTTGTTCTTTGAAATTCATGATTGATGGGACCATACGAATGCGTACCATACAACATCGTTGGCGGAGAGATGGACGAGGCAGAAGAGGAGCAATGTATATCCACCAGACCTTTGAACTTTCCGTTCCATCATAACCTTCAACTGATTCAAGAAATTCTATGTATTGGTAAACAATTTCATTGATCAGTGTTTTTACAACGTTGTGCTTTAATTGTTCATCTTCCTTGTTGGACTTGGCAATTCCTTCAGCGCGATATCACCGACCACCCAATTCTTGATGTCCCCAGTCGTTACCCTCGACTCACGGTCCACTTGTATGTGAAACTCTCGCTGGACCTGTATGCCCTCTATGCTGCCCAGATCTCGGCTGTCAGAGTACAGCACGTCTGTGGATGCCGGCGAGCTCCGCGGTCCATCTTCCAGTCTCTCAAAAGAACCCTCGATGTCGGCATCGCTACCAAGCTCCCTGGGGCGCTTGTGCTTCACACAGGCTGCTAGGACACCAACTGTATTCCGGGTCTTCGAAGTATTGCCTATGGTGATGCGAGTGCTGTTTGAGTAGGTAGAAAGCTTCACGCTGTGTGCCTTCCTAGAGTGTCCGGATCTTTGGCTGGTACAATCGATGCTCTTGGAACGCGAAAAGTCTTCAGAACTGCTGCAAATATGTCGTTTCAAGAGTTGCGCGCAAACAGGGAGACTCGTGGCGATGATGGCCAGGCATGTCTCAATGGATGACCCGATGTATGGATAGACGATGACTCGGCTGATATTGGTGGCATTGCCGCCATTGCTGGCACCAGATCCCAGGCGGTAGACGTGGAAAAGGATCGGGCGAACGATGGAAGCGGCCACAATGCTAGAGTAAAGAAATTGTCGGTCATCTGAGTTCATCTTCACCAGTCAACCCAAAAGCAAATCTGGCTCGCTTACCCAGTGCCAAACAACAAGACTGTCGCCATGGCCAAATTTCTTTCTCTCCCAAACTCCAACTGGCAGACAGCTCCCACAAGAAGTAGCACAGTGGCCAACGCGTTAATGAAGATGTTTGGGATAGCGGTGCTAACTTCGGTGCGTATGTAGCAAATGCTTGGAATAGTCTTGTCCCAGAACCCCTGGACAGGCGTGCATTTGAATACTGTTTCAGAGTTAGCTGGTTGCAATCATACCAAACGGCGATTATACTGACATGTGCCAAGAATCACGGCAATTCCCCATGCCAATACCATGAATGATAGAATCCACACGCAAATCCGAAGTGCTTTGCAATTTGAGCACAGTCGAAAGTACGTAGCAAAGACCGCAAGCTTGGAGAGAGGGCATGCTATGCCGTATACGATGCCCATGGCGGTGATACCCTGAATACTGTTAGATTCCGTGATCCACAAGAATTTGAATTAGAGACGCCAAATGACCTACTTTCAACACAGGGGGCATGCCGCCAGGATAGCTAGCCCCAATTGTGGCCACGTCTTTTCCAAGACCAAAGTGAACGGCTGGTTTGAATCGTTAGTTTGAATATGATCCGAACTTTGCTTTTGCCGGACGAAGTTGAACACTTACAAGCCCCTTCGGTGATGAGGAACGCATGATTAGAGAACTTCCAACACCAATCTTTGTTAGTCATAGTACAAGAATTTGAGGGCGTATCATACTCACCAACGCTGCAAGGCAAACACCATCTACAGCGCTAAAGCGGGCTACGCTGGCGCGGCCAAAATGCAGTTTAGCTCCTGCCGAGACGGTGGCAACAACGCTGAGTATTGTGTGTGGAACTATCAGAGCCCACGCAATGCTTTCGCTTGAAGATTTGGAATGAATGTCCATCATGAGAGGGGGCGTCGAATTGACAATGAAGACATCACATCAGCAAGATGGTGGCTCGAGGAAGACCATGTCTTTTAGACGCTCATCGCATTCCAGAATTCGCCTTTCGCCTCCGTTTAAGGAAAGGGGGCCGATCGGTTCTGAAGTCTGGATTGGGGTCGGTTTGCCATTACCCTGTCTTGACTGCCACATGCCTACAGGGTTGGTGTGGCCCAACGAGAAACCATTTTGTTTGTCAGGCTCCTATTGGACGTCGGTACGCGATGACAGGGCGAGATGGTGCAGCTTCTTGTTGGAACGGGCACCAGGAGCACAAGATCAGTAGGACGAGGCGCATTGGCTGTCTCGCAAAAAGACTGCACAGAAACCGAATCAAAACCCTTGTCACAACGCGACATTTCAAGTATATTTGTAAACGGCAATCTTCAGCCCGACAGGTACAAGAAGACAAAACGAAGCCAAGACAGGCCTCATCTTCAATGTCAATGGCGAAACCAGTCACCACAAATGTAGCGCTGCAGACTCGAACATCCTCGCGCAATCTGGGGAAAGTTGCTGACAGGTTGTCTATTAGAAAGAATCTCGGAGGTTGGGCTATACATCAAAATTCAAATCATCCGAGTCTGACTTGGCACAAGAGGGGCAGCAAAAACACGCAAACTAAAATTGCTCGCACTTTGACCGCATGTAAAATAGCAAAAGAACGGCGCAGATCAGATTTCACCATCTTTCACTAGTTTTCAACAATCTCCTGCTGATCATAATGACTCAGACGCAGCCCGAAAATAGGGCTCAAAGGCAACCCTGGTCCGCAGTCATCTTTGGAACCAACAATCCCCTGCATGATAGACACGGGACGCGCCATATTCGGAATAAAGACAAACATATTCACAGCAAATGGTTCTGACAGAAACGTTCATCAGCTTAAACGCTATCTAAACCAATACCTAATAAGACCATCTCCTCCCTACTTGTTCAAAAGGACTGAGCATCACACAGCCACTAAAGCTTTTCTGCCATCTCAGTGACTCGCCCAACAACCTGATACCTTTCATCGGCGATTCCGCCACAAAGACGGCAGTGAGCCCGATGGCACGTCTATTATTGCCATGTCTGTCACCGCAGCCCCGAGAAATCTGGGTATCCTGCTTGCCCACGGCGGAATCCACACACCGACATGCTTCGATCCGGCCAAGACCCGTCTATAAGCTGCTGGTTTCTCTCCGGTAATTGCTGTCCGTCACCCAAGTCTCGGCACCGACCCGACCATCACAATGGACGATGAAGCTCGCAACATCCAGTAAGAGCTATCCCCTTACTTGGATAAGGGATGAGAATTTTTCTGTGTCGCACATTCATATGGTGGAACACTCATGGTGGTGGCGATAGACCGAAAGTCGCAAGGAAAGAGAGGCGGCATCGCTGCTGTCGTATTCATCACGGCAGTCGTACCCGTGGCGAGAAGTGGTGAAGCTTTTGATGTTATACCCTCTGAGCTGGATATCACGAGTGTTATCAATGACACCGTGGTAGGCAAACCGACTGCCAAAGACGTTCTCTACATGCCTGATATGTCAGAAGAGATGGTTGATAAGTACATGGCTACGTGGGAGCCACAGTCATTGGCGGCTCTCGCTGGACCTGTCACATTTTGCATGGAAGATTTGAACATTTCGACTTGCTACATCTTGTGCGAGAAAGATCTTTGCCTTTCACCAGCTCTTCAGCAGAAGTTCTCATCCACAATTCCGAAGTTAAAGAGGTTGTTGCGTAATCCTGGTGGTGATTCTGCGATTGCAACCGAGGTGGAGAAGTTTGTGGAACATTTGATTGGAATTTCGGTGGAAGTTGAAGGAAACAGGGTTTTCAACAGTATTTCTGGTGACAATTCATTCTTGGATCGATTGCCGCTAACGTAATATATCTTAGCTCAGCCCTTATTCTTGTTGCATTGCCGATGCTTGGAATGCAACAAGAAGACCATGATGAATATCTATGCCAGTTCTCTCTGTCCAAGCTTATGTACACTGCAAATGAGAATGACCTTCACTGCCGACCTTGCGTGTCGCTTTCGGGACCGGATTGCGGCCCCACTTTCTCAATTCGACCACCTTCGGAGCCCGAGTTACGGAAGAGTCTTCGATCTCCCGAGTTATAGACATGCAATCCAGTGAGTTGTGGGTTTCAGTAAGTGAGAAGAAGAGAGCTGATTCGCTCTTGTGTCTTCACTTGTTTGCATATGTTCTTATGCCAATGGTTCGCACTTTCCGCATCAGAGATATCGCTCAACTCTCGTATTGTCCGTCCGTGACTCCGTGTTTCCATATCGGCGTTGTCGGCGTGGAAGTTGCCGGCCTCTCCGGCTCAGAGTTTGCGTATTCAAACACGAAAAGTTAACTTGAGGCTTGAAATCTTCGATGAGTACCGATGGCCTGTTTTCTCATGATCTTTCAAGCAGAATACCACGCAATCCCAGACTTGTAAACCCATCTGTACAAGAGACCGGCGGCGATTAAAGACCTTCCGTTGCGCAGCGGAGATGTTGATAACGTATTGCAATTTTCGCATATTGTTGCTCATGAAGATCTCGGAGTCGCCCGCATGTGCTTGAGCAAAACTCAATTTGGGAGAAGCCGGAAGCTTTCTCACTGAGTCATGTTCAAACCCCCGACTTCCCGTTCCTAGGGGTTCGAAACCTTAGAATCACCCCAAACATGACACGAACACGAGTGAACTGGTTTCAATTCATGTGTCGGAGGCTAATTTTTAGATATGAATAAATCGATGCAGCGATTGATGATATGGCTTTGTTGATTCTATAATTCCTTCATTGCGCCCAGATGTATCAATTGCAAGCGTCGCCGCCCGTTGCAACTTGCGCTTGACCTTTCAAGGATGCCACGCCCAGATCAAGATTAACCATTCAATTATACTTCTCTAAACTTCCCCACTGCAGGTGGCAGTGAGGACATAATCAAACACTAATCGCCTTCGGGACAGGATGAACCGCTGCCAAGCTATTTTTGCACTCGGATTCCCCGGGAATCAAATCCAGCTGTATGGTCGAAGTTGCCCAGCGTCGATCTCGGCATGACAACAGCAAGCTTCGCTAAAGTCGTGTTGCATCCACTGTGGGCTCGTAAGGGGGGAACTCAAATGCTAAGATATCCTCGAAATACGAGCAGCATAAGCGCCGATTCTATGTATAAGAAGCCTGGTGTTCATCGCTTTGTTGACTAGATGTACTTGCAATCACAACCGTCGTTACAACAACTCGAGTTCTATATACAACTGTCACTCTTTTGTAACCTTTCTTAACTACAACTCTTCACAATGCGTGCCTTCACCACCATCGCTGCCGCCCTTCTTGTGGCTGGCGCCCAGGCTGCCCCCGCCCTTGAGAGCCGCCAGGTCATCTACGGCTGGTGAGTTGGTCCAGTAGCAACATGCTGACTTCCTGTGAAGGCCATGTTGCTGGCACTTTTTCTACCTTGGTTGACTAACAACCAGCCAGCTACTTCTCTGGTGACGGCATCGTCGACCAGTACATCAGCGTCGGTCACGACGAGGACATTCCCGGCAAGACCAAGACCTGGCACCTTGACTGCGGCACCACCTCTAGCCAGCTCGTCCCCGGTGTCTTCGCCAAGTGCACCGTCGATGGAAAGGCTCCTTTCGGCATCACTGGCCGCGACGCGACGTAAGTGACATGACAAATATTCCCTAATGACCTGAGCAGGCTCTGACCTTTTTTTTCGCAGCAACATCAACTGCCCTATTGCTTAATTTGGAGAGCTCCCTACATACCCAGTGCGAACAAAAGCTAGGCGGATAGAATAGCAAAACTAATAGACATTAATTGCTTTACCAAAACGTTCTGAAGTTGGATACAATTGAGACTTTCGCTTTGCATGCAAGATGTTGATGTGACCTGTCAAAGCCTAACTGAATACCCAGAGGTTAAAACCCACGGATCAAGATGTCGTGATTCAATAGAGGATGCGATGGCAGAAGAACGCTGAGGCTTATCGTAAGTCCGGCACCCGATCACCGGTTAGGGGAATATGTTTGGCATGTAATACATCTGGCTGAATTGTACCAGAATCGTTGTACTGTAGTCCACAGTTGTCTTAAACCAAAAGGAACCGAGGCACAGATTTTGCGATCTCTTTGTCGAGATCTGGTTTCATTGAATCTGAAAGAAGATGGGACGAGTTGAGCCTCTGGATCCACTGGCGTACTGGACGCGAGGGCTAAATCGTCGAAGACCACATGTTGAGACCCAGCCGCGGTGTCATCAATGGGCTAACGCAATCAACATGTGGATTTTCTCCCCTTTGACGGCGGGGAAATTTGTCCCATAATGCGAACTCGCTGAACGAACACGGCCTTTCATCCCGCAGGCTGCGATCCATGCGCTCACCGAGCCACCTTGTTGCTCAGACCTCGCAGACGCAGGGATGACCCACGGCCGGACTTGGATGTTACATGAACGATGACACCGACACAGACAAAGTTGGGACGTTCCCATCCAATCCAGAGCCTTTTGTTTCCAAGACAGCCTCCAGACTTGGCCATACAATCGCAGCCGACAGCCATCCATGCCGGCAAGGTCCGACATGCTCGGTTTGGGCCGAACTTGTTCGTTGTTAGGGCCAACTCTTCGATTGCCTGTTTTGTCTTTTGAACTATAAATTGTTTTACGTTTCTATCGGCCGGGACAAAGACCCCCTAGGAAGGCTCATGTAATATTCGGTGACAACGGCAGGTTGACAGCAGACACGACGCTAGTCGTCGAGGCGGCGAGGTCCCGAAAGCTGTCATCAGCTCATCCGTTGTGCGGCAGTGGCTTTGAAACTACCGTGGCCGGCATCATCATGCAAAATGCCAAAGACTGACAGCCGATCAGACTCCACCCCGATGGCAAGTTAAGGACCCCTCATCCACCGTTTATTCAACACGGATACGGAAGCGTCGTTTTCTTTCAAGTTTCCTCCCTGGCCGCGTCTGATTCTTTGCCTCCGTTACACGTCACTGGCATTTCGGCCGGATTTGCGACAAGTAAGCAACTTGCAAAGAGGGTTGGATGTGACGCGTTTTCGACGGCCTTTTGAGTCGGCGATTCCCCTCTAAAAGATCCGGTCAGGCTCTGGCGGCGACCCTCAAATGCGAGAAACATCACAGTGTACGGCTCGTTCAGCCTGACACTACGGCGCTACGTAAACCGACGATACGATCGAAAGTCGATAGAAAATACAAACCGCACACGAGGCGCCCTGAACCGCTTTCGAAAATATCTTCCGTTCCAAAATGATCGTCCAGAAAACATGGCCACAATACATAGCCATACGCATCCTCATCGTTCTGATGAAGGACTTGGGGCTTCTATGTCTGACATACTTCTACGCGATCTTCGCACTAGGCGGCGTGCCAGCCATAGTCCATCCATTCTCCATCGTCATTGAGGTGATAGGAGCGATCGAGATTCTATTCTACCTATTTTTCTTTCTGCCTTACAAATGGTATCTCCAAAGCTTCAAGCCTTACAGACCACCACCGATGAGCCGATCGCAACGGGCACAGCTCTTCTACAAGGCCCTGAGTTTGGTGCCAGACGGCGAAGACTTTGTGCGAAAATGGATGCTGAACGCTCACATCGAAGACATACGACGCGAAAACCTCAAAGACTGGCTCTTGTGGGGTCTTTTCGAGAGGGATGGCACTACCGAGCGGCCGACCCAAGAGATTGACGAAGAGTGTGAGCGATACATCGATGATGCTGAAGAGAAATTTGGAATAAAGTTGAAGCCCGGGAGAGGTAACGCGGAGGCATTAAGGCTTACATTCGATCCGGTGATCATCAGACATCGCAGTTTGTTCTACTATGTGGTATGTGGGCGTCGAAATTCCTGTTTGCAGTGATTGCCACGGTTTGCAAAGGGGGAAACCCAGACACTGTTCTGCCAATTTGATGCTAATGCCAATGGTCTTAGGTCATCGGTTTTCTCGACAACTTAATGGCCTTCTATCTCCTAACACAGGGATACCGGCACTACAAACAACCATTCACAACATTCTTCAAAGTCTTCCCCCTCCGCTTCATCAATCTTATCCCTTTCAAGCGTTCCGCTGCCGACGGCATGTCTTACTGGTATCGCCCGCACAAGTCTAAGACACAACGTCCCATTGTTTTCATCCATGGCTTGGGAATTGGTCTGATACCCTACATGTTCTGGCTCCGCACAATTCCCAAGGACGTTGGGATACTGGCCGTTGAGATGCTGCCTATAGCCACCCGCGTCACGACATACCCGCTGCAGCCCACCCCTGAGCTGGCGGAAATGATCGCCAAGTGCGTCGCGCAGCAACGTGCCGCACAACCCGCTCCTGGAAAGGGCGAGCGAGGTGTTTGGGATGACTTTGTCTTGATTGGCAATAGTTACGGAACTCTTCTGATGCCACAACTTCTCCAAAGAGCCGACTTTGCGCCACGGGTCGCCGCCTGTATCTTGATCGATCCCGTCTCGATGCTGCTGCATCTGCCAGATGTGGCCTACAACTTCACGCGAAGGGAGCCAACTCCATCCATACGTGGAAGAACAGGACACGGCAACGAGTGGGAGATCTGGTGGGCGAGCGCCACGGATGCTGGAACAGCCTACACCCTCGCTCGGAGACTTTGCTGGAGAGAGTCCCTGATGTGGAGAGAGATGCTTACACCCAGTCTCCGCAGCGCGGAGACCGGATATTACGCCTCCGGATCCTCGAATGAGATCGCGATTTTTGGCAATGGCATTCAGCCCGGAATGCGCAGCACAGTCATATTAGGAGGGGAAGACTGCGTAACGACACCGAAATCAGTGGCCAGCTATGTCTACTCTGGCGACGTGAGGTGGACCCTCGATGACATTGAGAATTG